ACCGACCTGGACCCCTGGTGGAAGGTTTAAACATGTTCTGGCAAGGCGCATATGACTGTCCCGACCTGACTGTGCACCTCGTGCAGTCGCAGCACGCAGGATTGTGCTGTGATGCTCGTCTCAGCAAGTAGCATCTCCACGGAGCACATGGGCACACACGTAGTGTGCACTGCTGCATGTATAGATGGAGCTGGAGTGGAACACACCGCAATTTTTCCGATTCTCCGCAGGGGTGATCTATCCTGTTCTACAGCACATGCGGCCTCGGTCATACTCTGATGTTGCATCGATAGTTCTCGTTTGAAGGGGTTAGGGGAATCATGAGTACTGGTCTCGACGTTTCACGATGAGGAGATGCTGCAGTGCACGAGACTGGAAGCAACAGAGAGTGTCGTTCAGCGCAGTTCGAGGGCAACCTGCAATTCGAAGCCATGATCTCATGCAATGCTGTCAAATGCGGCCACCATCCAGACCCCCGTTTGATGCGCAACATTCCACGGCCAGCGGCCAGAGTGTTGCTCAGGTTGAGCCAGACACACTGCGCTCGGCGAGTGAGGCGGTAGGGCAACCCAGCGCGTGATCGGAACCGCCCTGCAACAGCGGATTCCGCTAAGCTCCGCAGCGTGTGAGAGCGCCAGTGATTTGAGGATGTTGTGGCCGAGCTCGAGCCGAGGGACAGCTTCGGTGAGCTGCAGGGCACCGAGTGAGCACCATGACGCATAGCAAGAGGAGTACGGATTCTTTTTGGAGCAGTGCACCTCTCAGGTCTTTAATTTACAACACCTTCCGCGAGGTATTCTCGGGGCTGTTCACCTGAATGTCTCGATGGCGCTTGTGACTGTGCAGGCGACCTTCAAGGCAGTGGAAGATTCCGAGGCAGCTGTCGCTCTCCTTGTGGGCACACTAGTGCGGGGGTGCGAGCTTGGCTAGGCTGCCTTGTTCACTGATGAAGAAACCTGCAGGTCTACGTAATTTCTCGGAAGTCGGAGACCTGGGAATATGTGCAGCAAGCAGCGGATGACAACGGCACTATGTAGGCTTTGTGCATTGTTGGCATCATTGCTGGCATGGCTCCTGGTACAATCAAATTGCCGCTGCAAGCGGTGTGTGTGTGTGTGTAGAACTGCGATGCCGGCCGGCCTTGCTCAGTATAGAGCCTTCTGCCCCAACAACACTGCTAGCCTAGTCACGGCAAGTGGTATCAGACTGTTGATGAGGCATTTCAAAGCTCATTTCAATCGGCGTGGGCCTCGATTCAAGGACATCACTTCAGTGGTGCACAGCAGGCACTTGCACCTCCCTAAAAGCAGAGCATGCTTGAGCTTTGCAGGATTATTGCGCGTTGCTCGACGAGGCGTTCACAAGTTGCAGTAAAATCCACAGGTTCGTAACATGGGAAATGCACATTCCTGACGCAATGTGCCATACAATGGCATTGAACCTTATAGATTAGATTCCTTAGATCTGTTCTATGGGATCACAATAATTTGCGGAACATGTGAATTGCAGTCTCGGGTTGCCTCGGGCTGCTCGTCAGAATGCAGACAAACCCTTGACCCGTCTGTCGCAGGTGCCTGCTCTTTGGCCTCTGCTCCGTGCAGAACGTGTCTTGGTCACACTTCAGCTCATGCGTACTGGGCGCCTGCGCGCCATCAAGACCGGTTAGATGTGAGCTGGAGCTGCAATGAGCTGCATGTTGCAGCATTTGGGCTCAGCAGCTCTGATCGACGCACCGAACTTTGATTTGCTCAAATGGCATTCAAAGCATTGTCCATTGGACTTGTGGTGCTCTTGCCGGCCACGGGTGCCCCGGTAAACGCGACTTGCATGAGCGGAAACGAGGAGCAGCTGGAAACTTGCGGGAAGGAGTGTTTGCACAGCGCTGCCCGTGGATCCTGTGTGACTGGTTGCTTGCAGCGCCTGACCCTGCCGAAGTTTTGCGCTGAATGCCTGGGAACGAAGTTTGACTGTGGTGTGCAGTTCTGCAAATCGGACTGCGTCGCATCGACGCAGTCCTGTTCCTCCTGCATCGACTCTTTGTGCACGGCCTGCAGCCAGGCACTCGACAGGTCCATGCTCAAGCTGATTGCGGTGCATGCAGAAAGTGGGATCCAACCGGCCAACTCCCTGCCGGCCTGGCATTCGGAGGAACAGCCTAGTATCCTCCCATGAGTGACGGGTGCAGATTCTGTTTTAAATGCATGGAATGTAACATCGTACAGCATTAATTACTCTCTCGAGAGAGCATGCTTGTTTCGACTATCTGGTAGACCATGTCGCCGCATATGGCAGTGTGACACCCATGTAAAGACATGACTGCTTATTGTTGAAGAGCTCAGCCCACTTGCCGTTTCTGCTGTACAGGCGTGCCCGCCATTGGCTCCACTTGCGTGTTCCGATTGCAATGTCTGCCGCGCGGGCGTGCGGGGCGTCGCCGCCCTCACCAAAAGCCAGCAGTCTCGAAAAGAGCTGTGGCGGCTTCGGGCGGAACGTTTCTTCAGAATTTCAGTACTGACTTGGAGAACGCGCCAGGCTGGGAGTTGGCGTGCAACGCACTCGGCCTTTTCACTTTCAGGCCCAGACGCTCCAACCTACTGCTGTTTGACGCAAGATTGGCTGCAAGGCCATGAGCTTAACATCTTGGCAGGCCTGGTGAGCGGATCATCCATCAGGGGCTACAGCGGAAGGCCTCGGGGCCGACGGGTTCCGATCATGTCAGAAACTCCCCCTTCCTGCGAGTCGGCGCTTTGGTACATCGTCTTTTCGGGCAGCTGCGCCGGGATCTAAGTTCGAGGGCCGGAGGTGGCCGGAGGCGGCCGGAGCGCAGACTGGGATTGGGTCTGTGGCGAGGTTGTGTCAGCCAGTCACACAGGGCCCGACGGGCAGGCAAGAAACGTGTGCGGTCGAGTCATTGTGAGTTTGCTAAGTGCAGGAGACCACGGAGGTGATCTCCACGCTCCGGCGGCCAGGCCGGGTCAGGTCCACGCACTTCCTCGAGCTGGCACCCTTTTTTTTGAGGGCTTCTGCTTTTCCAGACCGGCCTGTTGCAGCTGTCGTGTGGAGGCCACTTTGGCGAGCGCTCTCTTCTCCGAGGTGGTGAACATGCCATCCCAGAGGCCCCAGTGTGTACACGTCGCCTGGAGGGAAGAAGAGAGCATCAAACAACATGGTGATGCAGAGGTTAGCGTCGATGCCGGCAAGGAGGGCCTGGTGTGACGGAGCCTGATGTCTGACTGGAGCCAACGCTCAGATCCGCTGTACTGGAATATCGGAATGTCTAGCTCAGGTCTCGCCTTCGAGGGTCAGGCATGGTCCAGTGGAAAGTGTCGGTTCCATTTAATGAACAGCCTCGTTGTTGTCTTTTCCAAGATCCGCTAGCGTGAATTTGCCTTGTGTCCTTGGGAGGCCATCCGCGTGTTGCTCGAAGAGCTTTCTATCCAAGGGGCTTTCGGGGACGGGGCGGAGGCTTGGACTGAGCACACGGGATCTCGGCTCCTGTCAACCTCAGCAGGCACTGCTGCCCAATGTGAACAGCCTGAGCTCTATTGTCGGCAGCTGATATCAACGGAGCTCTGTTGTCTTCGATCGTCAAGCAGAATGATGGTGTGCCACCTCAGCAGCAGTCACTGCTACCGAGGAGTACGAATTAGCCAAACTTGGGCGCATGCGCCGTCAGCGTGTTCAAACCGAGGACTGAACAAAGTAGTCCAAGCAGACATGTGGCTCTCACGAAATCCCGATCGCCACGAAACCCCAAGTTTGTAGCTCAGATGTCACTCAGCGTTCTATTTAATTAATGGAGCCCGCGCAAGGAGATTGACATGATGAGCCTCAACAAGGCACAGTTTCCGGGTCGCGTGTCCGACTAAGCACTTAATCATGAGAAGCTTACAACATCACGAAACAGGATATGACAAAACTGAATCACATACATGCAGGTGTGCCATCTGGGCCGCGGCGGCTTTGCCGACGTCTACTTGATGGAGGACAGCGTGTCTCAAAAGAGGTGCGGCAGGTCGCATGAGGAACGGGAGGTGGCCTCCGATGATCCCTGGATCAACCTTGAACAGCATCGTCTGAGCTGCAGCTCGCGCCCTCAGCTATTCACTGCTTTATCCATGTTCTTCTGTAGTCGTAAGAGCCTTATCAGCCACCATGAATCATGTCATCATATCTTGTCCAACCTCTGTGAAGATGCGAAGCCGTGTTGCCAGGTACGCGATGAAGTGCATCTCAAAGGCTCCGAATGCTTTAGCACTTTAGCTGTGCACATGCAAACTATCACTCGACCGGGGTGCTGGTCCGAGAAAATCGGACATAGACGCAAACTGCTTTGTAGCATTCTAGTTTCGTCAACTTCACTCTTGGAAGGGGCACGTGGAGAAATTCGAGGCCGTGCGACAGGCTGGTCGGACTGCGAATTTGGTGTGTGCTTCTTCCTGGCTATCCTGAGGATCTTTACCGTGCAAGTCCATGTGTATGGCGAAAACAAGTCTTTGAGAGTAAGCGAGAGCCTGTAGTCTTGCTCATGACTTGCTATTGCCAGCGCCGTCGGAGTTTGAAAGCTTCTGGATGGCGAAGTTCGTGTTTCGTACGGTGCCGCACTGTGATTGTCAGCTGGACGAACTACGTAGTGTGAAAGGTCTGCTGGGAGCGAGAGATGCTGATGACGGTCCGATCTGGCTTGGTTGGGTTCGGTTTTGCTCGCTGTTCCGTTTCGGCATGCTCTGTGCAACCCAAGAACAAGACGAAGTTGGCAGGTTGACAGCCCCTTCGTGATTCGTTTGGTCCGCACGCACAAGGACGAGCCTCATACTTATCCTGTATAGTAGTCAGTCTAGGTGAGAAAGCTCTTGACAAGAATCCTAAAATAATGCAAGTTGGCTGCCAGGATGCTGAGTTCTTGTACATTTTGCTGGAGGCTGCCTCTACAGAATTATATTCAGGGTGCGTGATGAGGTCGTGTTGGCATGGTCATCGCATCTCATAGGAAAGCACGCTGGCCCGTGGGTGGGGGGGTGCATCTGCCGGTCAGGCAGCGCTCGGAGGAACTCTCTACAAGGCACGAAGCTGACGAAAGGGCTTTCCTGCGACAGTTTGCAGGCGTATGCGATCACTGTGTTTTTTCAATTTGGCTTGCCAGTTGATGAGACAGAAGCCCGAGGTCCGTGCCTTCAACGCTGGGTCACTGTGGTGTTTAAGGGTCTAACACAAGAATCACAGAGTCAGACGAGAGTATCCTCTGTGCTCAGGTGTTCTGCGACGATGAGCCGAGGGGCAGTTCATCGGCCTTCTTCGCCCGTAGCTCAGTCACGGTCACGGATTATCACGGATTATCGGAGATGTCGGAGGCTGAGTTTATGCAAGCTGCGGAACTCGGCCTGTCCAGGTCGCCTGCATCATTGCAGCGCTCGAGCACTTGCATGACAGGCGAATTGTGAGCTTCCTGTCTTTCTAAACTCTCCGCCGAGAGTTTCTGCAGGCGCATTGTGTACCGTGACCTGAAGCCCGAGAACGCCAACTGCCAAGCTCGGGACGTGCGCGCATTGACCAGGAAAAATTACTCTGGCCAGGTCCTGCTAGATGAGCACGGCTATGCGAAGCTTTGCGACATGGGGCGTGCTGCCTAGAGGAAGGGATTTATGTGACCGTCTGCGGCTGAAGCCGGAGTCACAGACCAAGGTTTGCTCGTTTCGTCATTTCCAAAACGAATACGCTGGCGGGTACTCCCGAGTACATGGCTCCAGAGGCCGACAGCTTTCAAATCCGCTAGCATTTTCAAGCGCATTCGCGCTTGCGTGGCAGGTCATCGACTTCCCACACGCCCATGACGTGACCTGTGATTGGCTCCTTCCTTACGGGCTATGGGGGTTTTATGGCTTTATGTGTTTTGTGGTCCTCGGCCTGGTTGTGCCCATAGGCACGAGTCAGGGTGATCTGGCAGCTCCAAATCAAGCAATCCTGGACAGGAGCCGAAATTTGCATCAGGCTTCAATGAAAGAAGCATGGAAAGACCGAGAGATCAAGCGTCAAGATGGGCTCGCTGATGGCAGCAAGATGCTGGTTGTGAAGGAAAGAGCAGACTCCCAAGATTGATAGGCCGAGGTGGCTGAGCATTGGGCTCAATATGAGGTACATTATAAACTATTCCGATTTCGCCGCATACATTCACTCTATTCATTTCGACCTGGGCTTTGTCAGAAAGGCGATGAGTGAGGGCTCTGCAATTGAGCAGTCGAGCCCAGGTGGTCATTGGGCGTGCTAACCTTCGAGCTGAATGCTGGCCAGCCTCCCTGGGAGGCGACGGGGGCTCTGTGTGTTTCCTTCTTTACTGGGATCTGCTGGAAATGTGGCTTGTGGAGGACGAGGGCGTTGCCGACCTCTTCGGGAGCTGAGCTGCAAGTGGTTGCTTGCCAAAGTGAAAATTCGCTCATTTGTGCCGGGAGGAAGTTGTTGGCCATCCGGCGCAGCCAGGAGCGCAGCAGTTGTGTTGCTGTTCTCCCAGCTCCCCATGGACGTGTGAGGAGAAGGGCGAGCCTCGGTATCCCTTCAGCTGCTAAGTCCTCAGTCACCAGCTGGCAGACAGTGAGTGCAGTCTCTAGCCTGAACAGGTCCTCTGCTTGTGCGAAACTTCATCTCCAAGCTACTGTGCCTTCGATGCACCAGCTGCGATTGAAGCAACTGCTTCACACATTCGTCAGTGGTAAGGACGAAGCTCCCTCACCGCCTCGGCGCGCGCCAGGGTGCACGGGAACTACGGCCAGGGGCTCGCCTCTCCTGGCAGAATGCAACTAGGTCATGAAGCCAGGTGTTGTTGTGCAGCCCCCTGCCGAGGGAGCATTTCTTTTTCAAGAAATTGTCCTTCGACTTTCAGGTCCTGCAGTGCTCTTTCAAGGCGGAAAGCTTTCTCGTCTCTACGGTTAGAGTGCTCCAGGCTTTGAAGGCCCAAACTCTGCCGCCGCCCATCGCACGGCCTTTCCAGCAGAGGCAGGTTGCGGCTGCGTGTCCAAGAAGCAAAGTGACTGCGAGTTTTCTACTGAGGGAGAACGCGGTGTGTGGCATGGAGGACCTCTCAGGCTGGCGGGCTGTTTGCTCGTTGGACTTAAGTCATTGAATCTGATTTAGGATGCCAGGACGAATGCCTGTCGAGCCTTGTGTCAGATGCGTCCGTAGGCGAGCTCCTGAAAAACTCCGAGCTCTTCCAGCCTGTGCAAGGGGCTTGCATGCAACAAGCTCAGTCTGCGTTGTTTTGGCATGCTGAGCCGGCGATGCAGACGTGCCGCCGTGCATCGCGCTCCTGTCAGGTGGGATGCAGACTTCTGATTGAATTCGCGGCTGTAAAGGTCCATCTCACCTGCAGATAGCTGGCCGCCGAGCATCCGACGGCCCGGAATCAATTCCAGCACGTGCGAACATGCTGAGGTCTGCACTTCTCTGTGAGTCGTTCCCTTCTCCAGGTGCCAGCTGTGTGAGTTGTGAGATCACCCATAAAAATAGCAATCAGAATCTGTCACTGCTACCCTGATGCTGCTGAGGCCACTTCGGCTCTCTTCATCCCTCCGTTGGCAAGCTTCGACCATTGATACACCCTTGGCAGGGTCTTCGCAAACTGGAGACCTGCTGGTCGTGCTGCCCGCTGCCCCATTGATTGATGCCGGGTCCGTATAGCCTCATGGGATCGTACTTCGACGTAAGTGGCAGCAAGAGGCAGCAAGTAGGAGCTTCCCAGCGAGACCGTGATGACAACGTGGTGGAGCCGTCTGGGAAGCTGTTCCCCCGCAAGGTGGGCAGAATGCCGGGCATGTTTGCAATCAGTGTCACTACGCTAGCATTTGGAGGGTTTCGATGAAGACTGAAGGCTGATTTTGTCTTGGGTCTCGTCTAGCAAGACGGCGGTTCTGAGTCCTACAATGCTGCAGTACTCCGGCCCCGGATCGTGCCCCTTCAGAGTTGCTTGTACAGACGCGGCCGACACTTGCCAGTGTCGTTGTCTCGAGAAGCTGGGTTTTCCGTACGTCTTCTGAAGGGCAACGCACACGCTGCGTCCCTCAGAAAAGTGCTCCTCGAGAGTATAGACATTTTCACAAAGGTTTTCGCCCACTGCCTGGCTACTTCCTCACTCTTCAACCGTCATGCAGCAGTCTTTTGATATCGGCACCTTCACCATCTTTTTGTTTGCAGCCTTGGCAGTGGCTTGGCAAATTGTCTTTGTGTGGCTATGTGGAGCAGCAGCGACAGATGGCTTTTGAATTTTTTGATAGCCTCACAGAGACTTGCATGGCCTTTTGCATGTTGTGGAGTGTTTGGGCGAACTTCCATTGCCCAGACGCTGGTACGAATCCTGGTCAGCCAGCTTTCTGGAGTGCCAGACGGCCGCAACTCCCCAGACACTATCCAGTCAGGATTGCATGATCCCGTGGTTCTTTTCTGCCTGTGGGAGATCTACTTGCGTAGATGGCAGTCTTGCTGCTTTCCCTTTCCGGTGCGAGGTTTTCCTGGAAGCGCTTTTGCTAAGCCGGGGCAATATCTTGATATGCAGAGACCTGCCCCAGTTATTGAGATGACGATGACAAGAGACTTGACTACAAGTCCAGTGGCGCTTCAAGCTCACTTGGCCGGTTTCTAGCTTCCCGACCTGTGGGTCAGCCACGTGGTCGCATCCATTTTGTCCTAGGCCTAGGCCAGACGCCAGACCCACATGTGGTCCAGGAGCGCGGAGCTCCGAGCGGAACAGTCCAAGGCATGCCAGGGCCCATTTGGGGGTCCCGCCAAATCTCCTTTCAAGTCTTGCCCAGTCCTCAACAGAACCCGACTCACCCGACTATTACATCGGGTTCCGCAACCCGTCTGCTCGGGCAACGCTCGTGGAACGCTTTCGCCAGAGGTTGGGCGGCGGCGATCATACGAGTGCAAAGACAACGTCTTTGCACTGGTTCCAATTGCGGTCAGAGCCAGCTGCCCTTTTGAGGGCCCTTGTGTAGCCGCTGCAAGATCACCAAGAGTGTGCCTATGAGTCCTATGACCCATGAGCTTTTTTCAACTGAGCAGAGTGTACCCCTAGTGCACTGATCTCACAGTGGCGCCCAAAGAGCGAAGCCTGTCAGAATGTGCTAGACACGGGACTGTAAAGACATGGTTCTGCGCAGGCCTCGCTTAATGTTCCTTCCCCGTGCAATTCCGATACGTTCGAAACGGGGACTTGTTGCTGGAGGTTCCTGCACCATCCGAGATGCTGACATATCAGCGGGTCGCGATCCACGCAGGGGCCGGCGACATGCAAGAGTCGAGCTGCGACGCCGTGACGCAGACACCATCCCGTGTCTTTGCTGTGGAGCAAAAAGTTGGAGCGGGTCCGTCGCCGACGCGGCCGACACCGTGGAGACTCCGTGGAGGCCGGGAACAGGCTCTGTGTTTGCTGTAGCCTTTAGCTGCTGCAGACGCCTCTGAGAGGCTCCTGCGCTTGCCAGTGGGGTCTTTGCACCAAAAGGCCCGTCCACAGGGTCTCTTCTGGGAGCAAGCAGAGCTTTTTGGGGAGGAGCGCTCAGTGCAAAGAGCTAGTGACAAACGAAGGAGGCTTTTTTCAGGCCTGTGCACATCTGCACTTAGCTTCACTACCTGGGGACTCCACTGTGGACTGTGGACCACCTGAAACATCTGCAGGGCGACAGTGTGGACCCGAAGCTCTTCTAACACAGGATTCCCGTGGCCAAACGATGCAACGACACACTGGTCTTCAGACAGTCAACGTGCAAAGCTTCTCCCTGACCGAAGGCTTTTGCCCGTCATTTCAGGTCGAAGCCCCTCGAAGCCAGTGGAGCCGCGGTGTGAAGCCGATGCTGGGAGATGGCGGAAGGGTGCGGCCAGAGTCCGCTACTACTGTATGCTGTTTTACGCCACAAGCAATGTCTTCTGTTCCTTGCAAGATAGAACATGCCCGTTGCCTCCCCGGACAGCTGAAGAGCGCGCAACGTATCTATCCCGGGAATGTGTAGCTGGGAAATGACCCAGCCGAAGTGTGCTTTTCGGTAATATGTTTACAGCACACGCACACATGTAGCTACTGAGTTGAACTCCATCCATGAAATGCTGTTGTTGGCTGTCGTGGAGCATGTCTTATTTGTCCCTTTTCCTGTCCCGTCTTTATCAACGCAGTGCTGTGAGGCAGTGGGGCAGTGGGGTATTTTTTTCCAACTTCTTCACATTCCCGAGCTCGCAGCTTCTGCCAGATCCAGCGACGGCACGACAAAAAGCCTGCATTTGCAGTAGAGGGGCTTGGAGATGATCCCACATGTTCCGGTCTTGCAGTCTTGCAGGTTGCAGCGGGGTTTTCTCTGAGTCAAGTTGAATCAATTCAATTAATGTGCTGCTCTTTTCTCTGCCACAGAAGCGATGCAATATGATGTGACAGCCAAGGATTGACCAAGAGAAACGGAGAAACGTCACTTGCCAAACTAGTGAGCAGGTTTCAGAATCACATTTTGCGAACATGGGAACATGGACATTCTTCGACATCCGACCTGCAGCGCCTCTAGCCTTCACCCAGGCATCAAAAGATTCCGCGGGGGCAGTGGCCGTTTTGTGCCATGATGGCGGCAAGCACCCAATACTTTCGAACCCAGCAGGGATTGTTGTTTCAACCACATGGCCAGCGGCGATGGCGGGGCAGGAGATCTGCCCGCTGAGCAGGGAGGGGCGGCCGGGCCGCAGATCGAAGTGAAGCTGCTCTCGAGATCGGTTCGTGGGCGAAGCTCTGCCGACTGTAGGACTGTAGGATAGAACGCTTCCGTTCCCCAGCTGTGGTCTGGGCTTGTGAGCCTTCGCACGTCGGATGGTTAGGAAATTTTCTCGCGAAGGTTTTGACCCAATAGGCCAAGCATCAGAAGCCCTGGGTGTCACTACGATCATTTTGGTCAGTCGTGTCATGGTGTCTCCGTGTGTTTGCAACTTCCGCAAAGTGGTAGTGCATTCATTACCTACCCGTCATGTGCCCGCAGGCCGCAGATGCTGAGGAGTTGGAGCTGTTCGGGTCAGAGGAGGAGGCCGTCCTCCCGGTTGCACGCGTTCGAGGCATTCGCAAGATGTTACGCTCTTACACGCCTCCTGCAGGCGGAGAAGGGCGCGAAGGAGCTCTTCGGCGAAGACGACGAAGGCCGACATGAAGCTAGTGTGGTTCGGGCACTGTAGGAGCGCACAAGCGGGCACGAGAATTTCAAATCGGTAGGACGCAGCACTCATCTGCAAACAGCGCCCAGGTGAAGAATTTGAGCTTTTCGGCTCCGAAGAGGAGCCCGAGGCGGCGGAGCAGCAGGCCGTCCTTGACGTTTCTGCTTGTTTGCAGAGGCTCCGTGCACCGAGTCACAGTAGGTTGTCAGCCACTTGTCATGTCTCATGCTTCAGCTGCTGATGACGCCAAATAGTGGACAAGCGCCTGGAGCCAACTGCTGCATGCCAACATCCCGCTAGGCTCCCTCAGCGGGCCCTTCTGCACCTGCCACACAGGTGGGAGTGCAGTCGGTTGCGGTGCTGTGGAACGACCTGGGAGAAACATGCAATGCCCGTGACGATTGACTGCCGGCAGTAGAACTGCCATCATCCTGCCCCTTCTTGCTTGAAGGCTCAGCCTCCGTCCGTGATCAGCGAGCTGGCACCCTCGCCGCGGTTCTGGTCAGACAGAAGGTTACCTTCGTAGGTTCACGAAGCCAAGCTTGTGGCTTGGGCTTATCTGCGCTCCTGCGCAAACTATCAATCGCAAGTTGCCACAGACCACCTACAGGATTTTCTGCAGAATCCTTTTTGATCCTGCGGGCTTCGTGTAGCAGTGTAGCCATGGAGCAACCGAGGACGAGAAGGACATCTTCGGTGATTTCTCAGATGATGAGCCGGAGAAGGAGCTAGCTTTTGCAAAACAGTTTCTTCTGCCATAGACAAGTCGGAGTCGGGTGAGACATGTGTAGTACAAGAGCTTATGCAGGGCCTAGCGCTCTGCCATCCGTTCTGCGGCTTAGGAGCTTAGCATTGACGTGACTGAGCGCATGATGCCAGCTGCCGACAAGGCGCCTGCTTGATGCAAACTTCACCGCACAACATTGCTCTCAATCGCTTGGACGAGTTCTTGAGGACCTCATCAGCATTCGCCTGCCAAACATGTTGTCTTTCGATGACGCCCAGTATCGCCCGGAGCCAAGTGGAGCCATGGGTGACTTGGTTGAGTTTGCTCTGGAATGGATCGAGCTAAGCACAGCCCTGTTTTTAACCTGTGCATGTGCTGATGGACTGGGCTCGGTCCATGCAGTGTTTCTGCCCGAGTTGGCATGGAATCCATCACAGACACGCTGATGGAGGGGTACAAAGAGCCGAAGCCCCAGTGCCAGACAAACTGCTGATATCTTGCGTGCCTTCACGAGCCCTTCACGACTGCTCAGCCAGGTACAAGAACACAAGGGGACAAAATGCCGCACACTTACCACTTAACACAGTGAGCGTCACTGCTCATGGTTGGCATCTTTGATAGTCGGCTTCGATGGCGAGTCGGACCGCAGCCTGTGCGTGCTGGATGGTGCATGATTGAAAGTCATTGCTTTCATATAGATGTGCATTCAACCGTGAAGCATGAAAGTTTTTGCACCTCTAAGGTTGTCAGCCTGCAAAACCCCGAGAACTGTGTACGTTGGCGATTGGAGCAGGACGGAGCCGCCTACCCGTGCAACGAAGATCAACAACATGATGCATGCGAAGTGCAGCAGACATCATGTAGACATGCAAGGCAGTAACAGCCCTACTGGTAGAGGAGACGGGAAGATACGGCGAGATGCAGAAGACTGAACAAGATCTAATGGACAGAAGTTGCAAGAGCGACATGCAAAACGAGGATGAGTATGGCAACAATGTGTTGGACTCTACGGGGCGGCCGGTTCACGAGCCAGGAGCTGATGTGGATGTGGATGATCCATACTTATGCTTTGCTTACTTGTCAAGCTAAGATCCAACTGCCGGCTTGTGCAGTGGGAGGATGAGCCTGCTGCCAAGTGTGGTTTGTCAGGGTCCCTAAGCCACATCCCATCCGGCCCTATCGCAATCTTTGCGACCGATGTAACCCGCAGTGGCTTTCTTCAGAGAGGAGCACGTGACTTGAACTTGCTATTTGGCTTCCCCACGCCTGCCAAGAACGTGGACACTCTTTGTGGGGGACGAACCCTTTCACATCACGGAGGTCGCAGAAAGGCCACGCTTTCTTGCATGGCAGGAGGGTGGTCTTGCAATGTCCTCCGTTCACCTGGCCAGCAGACGTTTCAATTGTAGCATTCGCAGGAATCCCATCTTCGAGGTAAACAGCCAGGACGTTTATGTCTGCCACGGAGCCATCTCCAACAAGCAAGACACTCAGCCTAGTCGCCAGATCCCGCATCGCAAAAAACATCTACCTAATCCGATAGCGAACAAAACGCCGATGCAGGCAGCCTGCTGTGGCAGGAGAGACGGCTAAAGAGGGACTCCAACATTGGGACCTGGCTGTTTTGCATGAAACGACGGCTGAGGTTTATCGCTACTCCGAGGTCTATGGAATCAGCATCCCACGACATGCACGACGCTAAGTTTCGTCATCGGCTTTGCCGGCGGCTCACTCCATCCCAGCAGTAGTCCAAGCCATGTGTCCGTGCAGGCTGAAGAAGTCTCAGTACCGAAAGCACGAGCCCGTGCGACGATCTCTTCTTATGACAGCCGAAGTCCCAGTGAGCAACATGTGCGAACATGATCTCTGCCTTCGTGCCTCGCTATGCATCACTGGTAGTGCTATAAAAAAGCGGCACAGGAAATGTATTGGACCGCCGTCAGTGACGTTATGTGGGGACCATCTAGCGGCTAGCTTAAGATCGGTAACGAGAGTGGCAGCGGAATGGGGAGGGGGCGGGGACGGATCTTGCGTTGGACTAGGAGCCTCTACGTACCCCACAGCTTCGAAGTCTAAGCCTACCTGCCAGGAGACCGAGACTGCAGAAGCAAGGCGGGGCCGCCCCACGCGGAATGGTCGGCGGAACTTGACACAATGTCGGTTTGACGGGACTGCCCTTGCACAGGCAGGTGTTGGACATGGAGCGTGAAAACCGCAAGCTTCGGGAAAGTCGTCAGAAGCAGGGTGGCCCAGTGTGCCGCCGTGTCGCCCTGCTGGCCTGGTGCAATGGCTTCGGACAGGTGTAGGTGCACGGCTGCCTAGGATATTCATGAAAATGCCATGCCATGGGTTGCGAAGTGAATTTCGCTGCTTCTTTTGCGCAAGCGTTCACCCCGAGCATCTCATCGCCCGAGGCGAGCACTGGGCGATACCGCTTTGCCAGCCATGACGGTGCCTGTGATGCAGATGTCGCTGCAAACACTGCGCATTCTCTCACGGCAAGTTGACTATTTCAAGTCTTTGCAAGCTTTGTGCGCGGTCCTGCAGACAGAACTGCCAGAGGATTACATGACATGCCCTAGGCTGGCTTCCTCGAGGATGTTGGCGGCCTCAGGTTGCAGGTTGATGGAATGACACGTTTGTTCAACTGGGGAACTCTGAGGACCAGTCTGTTCATGGTCCCAGCATTGCGGACCTGAAGAGGCTTGCTGCCCACTGCATTGCTTCTGATGCAGCGGTGCGAAGCTGTCAGGCAGTACCGAGAGGAAGCCGGGCGACCCGCCCGGCCCCCAACACTCCAGCTCTCCGTTTTCTTCAATACAATTGTCAGTTATTTTACCGTGGCATTGTCGTGTAACACATTAAACGTGTGAAGGGACAAGTTCGTCGAACGACGCATGTGCCGCAGCTGCTGCAGGCATTGCGTCGCCCGACGAAATTTCAGCTTCAGACTAGCACTCTCCTGCCGGCGCCATGCTTCGCAGATCGCCGCGGCCGACGCCGTTTTGGAAGACGCCCTAAACAATGGCGTCGATGTCGCGATCCATTTTGGACACTGGACGCGACTCCAACGGCGGGCCCTCGTCGTATCTCGTCGTGGCAGTCGAGGGTGCCTAGCTAGCAACCCCACGAGCCGCCGTCTCCTCCAGATCCGCCAAGCTGACGCACGTTGGCCACCGCCAGCCCCGCCATGTCCGCCGGCACCTCCTCGTCGGTGGGGGCCCGACTGCTCCAGGGCATCGGCGTGGCTGCAAAGGGCTCGCCTATCCTCGACGATCTCCCGGCAGAGGCGCTGGGCTTCGTCAATCTCCGCCTGCGAAGCGCCTCGAAGAGGCTTGGGCGGCAAGGCCGGAAACCCAGCGCCGGTCCGGGTACTTCAGGCGAGCCGACCGTCGGAAAGGACGGGCACCGGCCGACGCTGCCCACGATCCACCAACGCCGACTTAGCTCGGGCAGCCACATCCGCCTGCAGCTCGTCAGCGGTGCGGTCTTGGAGCTCCTTCCTGCTGCCGGCCTCATTGAGGTAGCCATCCAATCCACCGCCAGCAGACGACGAGGGCGTCGTCCGCCGACGCACCGGCGGTGGTGGGAGCGAAGCCGCGGCGGAATCTGACCACGACCACAACCAAACCGCCAACCCGTGGCCCGCTGCCGACGCAAGTCCAACCTGGTGCCAAACGCCGGTGGCGGTGATTAAGCCCTGGATCCGGCCACCGCCGCTTGCGCCTCATGCCCTGTCGATGTCTGATGGGGGCTCAGGCGCCGGCTGCGAAGTGGATGTGGTCGAAGCCGCCAACAGCGCGCAGGCGCCTTGGGCATGGCCTTCGCCTGCCCTGCACCTCCCCGGCGTCCGTGGCATGCGAGTTCCCGAGCGGCTGGACGGCGATGCTCGAGCGGCACAGCTCAACCCACCTGCGGCGTTTTGGCAAGGGGGCGTTCTCGTCGATGTCAGCCAAGGTGTCGGCCAAAAAACAGGGAGACCCGCCTCCAGTGCCGTCCGCTTGTAGGCGCGGCGCACGTCCCATCGCACAGGAATGTCCTTCCTGCGTTCAATGGACGCCTGTGTCGGCTCAGGGCGCGGGCCACCGTCGCGATCTCCTGGCCAGGCCGGCGTGCCAGCCGAGGTCATTCAAAAGCTGGCTGCATGGAACAGGGCCCATGCGGAGACCGGGTCGTCGACCGACGGGCGCAACGGCACTGGTACCGGCGATCCCAATGGACCTGTGCCGACAAAGGCCGATTCGACATCATGTGCCCCAACGAGCTCGACGAAGGCCATGGCCAACCGGGACCGGGTAAAGCGACACGGCCCTGCAGGTTGACCGCCGGCATCGTCTGCCAGGGTGCCAGGACACCGGTCTCCTCGAGCAACCTGCGCCTGCCTCTAGAAAAACAATAGGACAAATAGCAAAGGAGGAGAGCGACGACGACGACCAGAATGCAATCACTCACTCACGCCTGTCTTTTCAACACCAGTGCACTGTGCAAACTGCTTGTGAGACACGCCGGCACACACGGTCCGACGTGTCTCGACGAATAAGGCAGGAGAGGCTCGACTCGGGAGAGCTCCGCCAAGAGATATACACAAAAAAGCCATGCTGCCGCAAGCCACGATGGCGAGGGCGGCGACACGTCGCCGGTCCAGCGGTGCCCTCGTCGACGTGGATAGCCGGCCCAGCTAGCAAAAGCGGCCGCACTCGCCGGCACGGTGGTACTCTGCGCAGTCATGGTGTCCATGGGCTGCCAGGTCGCCCAGCGATGCGCCATGACCACGACGAACGACGACCAATGTAAGGCAGCGGCCGAAGGAGCCGAAGCGTGGCGGCCATCGGTCCACACAGAACTACTTCGACTCGGCGAGCAACGAGCCTGTGAAGCCGCTGCTGCTGCGTCGTGCTATACGGTGAAGCTGATTGTCGCCACTGACCCGGCGAGGTCCAGGGCCTGGTCCCCTGGGTCACAGCGCATGCCGCCGATGCCCGGCTGCTGGCGACGTCCATCTCGCGGCGGCCAGCACCCGGCCGGCGGCACGGTCACACTAAGGGTCCCGTTACACAAGGTAGCCACTGGCGTCGGGTCGGAGATGACTCAGCGTTGGCTCCGCTGTGCTTGCCACGTAGTGCAGAAGTGCGCGCCCCGGCACCGGCACCGGTTTTTTGCAGCCGGGGAGCGTCTCGGCTCGACCGCTTCCAAACTCCTGCCCTTGCCACCCTTTATGTGTCATTCGTCTTACGACATGACGGCCGGCACCCGCCCACCGGGCGGTGATGCGGGGCGGACGCCCGGCACCGGCACCGGCACCGGCACCGGTTCGGGGGTGGTGTGCCCGGCCGGGCGCAATCCGCGCTTCGACCAAAAGGATCCGGATCCAAAAGGGACTGCATCCTAACTCGCGGCTAGCATAACGCTTGTTCGGTAGTTCGGTATCTTCAGCCATGACCGCGGTACAAAGGGTAGCTCGGGGGCTTTCATGGAGTATGGTTCATATTGCTACTGCTACTGTGGTGCGTCTATGTAAGGCTTCTCGGGAGCACGGGTGTGGTCTTGATTGCATAAACCGTCTTTCTGTTTCTTTTTCTCTCTCTTCTCTGCCCCTGTCTGTGTCTCTCACTCGCTGTTGGCATTTGCGTTGCGTCATTCCACCCGAATTTCACTCTGGGTCTGTGGAAATGGAATATTTGGGATTTGGGGCTGCGACGTGGCCAGACCCGCAAAGGGGCCCTGTGACTTTCAATGACATGTGAGGCACGGGTGTGCTGCCGATGGGCAAATTCCTGTAATCATATGCTTGATGCCCCCTTGCAGATCCTCAAGCCACTATAAGATGCTGCAAGCCTCTCTCCCTTTTTCCTCCCTCCCCTCTCTAGGTACATGTATACATTTGTATAATTTATATATGTTGGCATATATATATATATTACAGTGCATTGCATCAGCGGCTTGATTCCGCTGGTCAAGAAATACTTAGCTTCTGGAATAATGAAAACCCCCGATTCGCTACAACATGCTGCAACTGTTTTCCAAAACTGCCCCCCCCCCCCCCCATATCGCAAGGACCCTAGCATCACCCAGCGTCCATGCACCGTAACGCACCGTGTCTTCTTTAATTGCGGACTGGTCCATGCTGAGCCGATGCGACCCAGGCCAAGCGTCCAAAACAGGACGAATCGCCTTCGCCTACCCGGTGAGTTGAAGTGACTCAGCGAGCAGGAAAAGCCTTGAAAGAGTGGATGTCTACCAAGTATCGTTCAATCTCTTTTCGCGTGGGAGCCGCTGTCCGATTGCGTTCCTGGCAGTCCGTTGACTTGGTGTCGTGCGTCTGTCAGCATCGACTCGTTTTCGCTGCCGTTTTCTTTCGGCTTGCAAATTGGGTCCGATAGACAGAGATCCAGGCGAGGGCTTGCAGGATTGCTCTGAAGCTTGTGGAGTGTGGGCGGCGAGGGAGTTTCAGCACTGTCCTTTCCAAAGCGAGAGCTCTAACTCGGACCTGTCGGCAGGGTGCACCATGGGTGGCCTGCTATCAGGCATGTCGGGCCCTGCAATTCCTTGCTATGACTGCTAGCTTTGTCCAGGCCCGTCGACACAGAAAGAGTCCGGAGATGGCAGGCTCAAGACTCAAGCTGCCGAGACGTTGACCAAAGATACACTCCTTTCGCTGTAGCATGTTGCAGCAGGTCGTTCCAGAATGGACTGGAATGGGGATTCAGCGCCATGCAGGGTTGGTCCCACTGGCCTGCCGTTGAATCTGCAACTGGATCTCATCTTCATGATCATCCGATCCAGTCATGGCCTGCCGCTGTACAGATGGCCAGGCGTGACCGAATGGAGGATGCGCACTTGGCCTCTTGGTACCAACAGCAAGAGTTGCAGAGAAAAATTGTTGCATACTTCCACTTCTCACGCACATAGACTTCTCAGGCCATCAGCTCACTGGGCTCCGCTGCAGTGTCGAGCAGTCCCACACCAAGCAAGCAACCCCACAAAGCCATCACTAGCTCTGTTTGGGTTGAAGGTGCCCGGTGGAGAGACTCCTCGTTGTTTGCGGTCATGGCCACTGTCTTGGCATTCTTCCTGGATGCCGCAATGACTGGGTCGATGGAGAGAGCAAAACTGAACTCTTCTTGCCAGCCAAGGACGGCCATGGGGGCGAACAGGTTGCCCAGCACGGGCTCCTAGGAAGTTAGTTTCGAGTTTGACTTAAAAGGTGCTGGTGGATCGCTTCCGAGAGCCAGCTGCTTGAGCTTGTAAGGTTCTGCCGGTGTCACTTCCCTGAAGAGCTGGTGCTGCAGAACAGCCAGGCGCAAATCCCAGTATCTCAAAGGCTGAGGTGACCGGCAACACAAGTCCCACTACAGTAATGTATCTCCAGTGAATACCTAGTATGTACTGCTCGTTTCTACCCTGCTGGTGACACTGCTGCTCCTGCTACTCTCTTCACGCCCACCGAGGACGACGGCGATGACGAGTACGGCTGAAATTCGTAGACAAGCAGAATCGCAACCACAAGTTCCTGTCACAAAAACATCGCGGGTTTTAGTGTCAGTACGAGCAAGCACATGGAGTATCAAGGCGCTGACCAGAGAAGTCGTATCACAGCAATCACTGGTGGGGTCACCCGCTTTGCAGCTGTTGTCGTCACCATCATCATCAGCACCTTCATCATCACCATCATCAGCACCTTCATCATCACCATCATCATCATCATCATCGTTTCATCATCATCATCATCATCGTCTTCAACACCATCATGATGATGATGATGATCATCATCATTAGCACCATCACCTTCATCATCACCAACACCATCATCACCATAAGCAGTTGCAGCATCATCACCCACCTTCCATCATCTATCCTCCACCATGCATCTGCAAGCGTGCACCGTTCATCATGCATCATGCATCATCCGTCATCATATTATACCTGTATGACATACCATCAGTCATATCATCATATCTTGATTCATACCTATTCATACCTTAAAGTCCAGTAACATGACCAGTAGTATGACGGTGGTCACCGTGACCATAATTGTCATCTTCATCATCGCAACAACTGAAAAATGCTCCTATCAATCTACGCATAAGCCCTATCAGCTTCAGTAGAAAGCGCTGCATTTGGCAGGATACAGATCAGATTGAGAAGCATGCGCGGAATGAAATCCATAAACAGCACCACGCATTGACGCAAAGGGCAGCAAGGCCACAGAGGGTCGGAAATGGATAGGATGCAGCAACCTGAAGTGGGAACTCCGGCAGGATTGCAGCGATGCGCTTATGCGGGCCTTCCACCGCATGGACTCCGCGGAATTGTCGGGGATTTTGCGGGCTATTATGGTTATGGTTTCGTTGAGAGAGCTAGCCTCGGCCAACCTGTTTTGTGTAAACATCTTTGGTGGATAATCCAGAACCTTCCTTACGAAAACCGTTTACAGAAGGGAGGAAGATGCTAGTGAAGTACATGCGCATGTTGAGTTTACTTAAGCGCTTTCCTTGGCGTTGCACTCGCAATGTGGACTTTGCTCCTCAACGCTGCTACGTTGGCTTCAAACTCCGGCTCGCACTGCTCCCGCAAATCATGTGGACTTCGACAGTCTCAGTCGTAGATACGCTCCGTGCTCGCAGCGAATCGCAGCGAGCAGTGCGTTGAGCGTCACAAGGACACCATGTTGATGGACCCCCACTCCCTGGACGAGCTGCAGAGCCTGGGTCGAAGCGTAGTCGTAACCTCAGAGCCCTGGTATCACACCTCGAAGGGCAATACCAGGTGCGTCCCGACGGATTTTTTCAAGACGAGGCTTTCAAGTCTTGGGCCAACCCCGAAATCATGGGCTGCACTATGGTGGGAGCCCCAAGGAGGGAGGTGGGAGAAGGAACTGGGCGTTCGGTTTGTTGGCCATTTGCTGGCGTCGGCGTGCGCTCTCAGGTGGCAGCTGTGGTGCGGCCTGATGCTATCTTCGTGGCAAACGCTGGAGATAGTCGAGCTGCACTTTGCCTTCGCAAACTTAGACCTCGCACGTTCGCCAGTTCGCCACTCTTCTGGAAGATTGCCAAGGTACTCTGCAGACGAGGAAAGGCAATAGACATGTCGCAAACTCGGTGCATCCGATTTGGGAATCATCGCTCGCAGCTGCAGACCATGACCCCACTACACACAGCTCCAGCGTGGCATCTGCAACATTGAAATGGCGTTCCCTGTAGCAGCTGGCAACGACTGAGGTCAGAGGACCACAAGCCAAACAGTCCCGCGGAGTTGTCGAGGGTGCTGCGGGTAGACGGCTCAGCCGAGCCGACCAGACAGCTAAGTCACTAGCCATGCTTAGCCATGGGTACTGGCAGAGATTTTGCATGCTTCCGCTGTTAAGGCTGGGGGCACGGTGATGCAGCAACACGTGGGCAACCACGTGCACTACAGTCAGGGTCTTTGGCTATCGCATATTTTCTTGTACGAAGTGTTTTACTTCTTTGCCATGCCAGCGTCGCCTTAAGGAATCAATGGTAATCTCAATCTCTCCCGCTCCATCGGCGATTTACTGTGCGCCGTGGGATTGCTTGAAGACAGACCTGAGCAGCTATGGTGTTCAGGGTCAAGTATGCGCAGAACCCAATACACAGTGCACTCGCCGGCAGAGCAGCGTCGGGGTCCCCTGTAGCGAGTGCAGCGTCTTCAAAGTGCGCTCCGTTGAAACAGCTTGTCTCGGACGGTTGGTAGTTCAGTTCCGCGCTAGGCAGTCCTTGGCCGTTCCAGGTACAAGCAGAACGCCTCCCTGTCTGCAGAGGTCGTTTGCTCTTTCCGGTTTTGGTGATGTTCACTTCATACATTTGATCTATCTTCAAATCAAGAAACACAAGGGTCGTCCTTGGATTCCACGGAGACTTGCAGGCTTCTGATTGTGCTCTGGATTTTGCAAGTTTGTGGAGGCTTCTCATCATAAGGTGAGCATCATCGTATTCCGACTGCTTTGTGATCGCAGGAGCAAGTTATCACTTGCCATCCAGATGTCCGATGCTTCAACCGCCAGGCACCCTCTCCACAACCCATGTGCGTTGGCATAACCGATAAACGTGAGTGGCATATGGGCAGGCGGATGACGAGTTTATGATCCTGGCCTGCGACGGTGTGCCAGTGGCTCAGTGTGCGACACTGGAGCCGTGCCGACGTCGTGCCACCATCCACCACAGTTCTTTGCGTAAACGTAGGTGGGACGTCCTCAGCAGCCAGGACAGGGGTGTGGACCCTTGTCATCGCTCCCTCTCCCTGCCTTCCTCTTGTCTCCTTGCTTGGCGGTGCTCGTAGCTTGAAGGAGGCAGTGGACTTTGTCCGCATGCGCTTGGGCAGCTTCGCCGACCTTGCCTTCCGTTTGCAGGCTGCAAGGGACCACTTCACTTGGGCTTGGAACAGTGGAGGCATAGACAGCAGTCGTGGGATAGCGCGGGTCGCCAGGAGGGGCGATTGCGTCTGTCTGCCATTCTCGAGGACGGTCGCTCAGGCGGAGGGAGCCCTGTGTTCAGCGTTGGCCTTGGCCTTTGGGAGGAGATGCTGGATGCGTGTATCTCCCCCGACCTGGCACAGACGATGGGCATTGGAGGCCCGGGCCTCCGCCTCCGCCTCCGTCTGCCTCCGTCTGCCTCCGTCCGCCTCCTGCCGAGCTGCTCTCGGCAGGCGACAATATGACGGCTCTGCTGGTGGTCTTTTCCGACGGAGGGCGCCAGGCCGAAAGACAGTGCTCTCGGTCTAAATTTGGATTTTATCATGTTGGGCGGCCTTAGTGACAAGTTTCTGTCCGAAGATTCCTGCAGGCCAACTGGCTTGAAAGCACCTCTGTGTTGCCGACTCAGTCGCTGCCTTAAGAATCTTCGGCTCTGTTCCACACTCGGCTGTGATCACAACTGAATCTCAAATGACCTGTTGCATTGCTAGGCGGAGCTAATGAGTGTTGCGAAATAGAAACTGCGCTTACCCAGGCTCAGGCATGGGATTTTTCGAAAAAACTCGTGCATTCAGAACTCCGAAAGGCTTTTTTGGGCCTTGAGGCCTGGTGAATCAGTTGACGGCGGACCCGGGGGGTGGGAGGTCCCCCCCCTTACGCTCTTGTGGTTTTCATGCTCAGGCCGACGGGCTCTATCCCTCAACCGTGTCAGCAAAACAACTGTCAAAGTTCGGAGATGCCACCTGCTTCTTCCCGCTAAATAAACAGCGAGTTTCTCTGCCTCCCTCATCTTTAGCTTCCGTAGCCTCCTCTCGAGTTTTGTCAAAGCAGCCGGCCGTCATTCAGGTCATGGATGTGTCCATACCGGTGACAAGGTCCACAGCGCAGTGAGCGCTGAAATCCTACTTATTCCACTACTGAACACTGCTGCTGGAAGCCTCATACCACTATCTTTTGGTTGTGGCGATGCAGAGCACACCCGCCTCATGATATGCACTCGAACATTTTGGTTGAATTGCCAGCTGCTGTGGCAATCTGTTTCACATTGTGAAGAAGGAGATGTTTCCTGGTCCGTGCATTTACTGCCATGCACCAGGCTGGCATAGAAGTTCGTCGGAAGGTCCTGCCCCAGCATGTGTTAAGCTCGACGGGTGCACCTTGGTTTTGGCTATACTGGCTCCAGCGAGGTAGTGTCTTTGCCATTGGCCAGAGGAAGTGTCTTGACAGCAGAGCCGCCTGTGCCACCTGGTTGCAGACCTGGGGCGAGTTTCAGGACTCCCAGGACTCCCAGCAAGATGGAAGTCGCATGCTCGGGTCCTGCGGAGCCTTTGCGAGCAACGCTTCCCAGTGCAAAGCCCGGCGGAAGCGTTCGAAGAGTTTGCCGTTCGAGAAAAGCCCAGCTGACAAGTGATTCCAGAGATCCGTCCAGAGCAGTAGCACTTAGATTTGTAGCACAGTGTCGCAACGTTCCGCCATGGCTGAAAGGGGCACAGGGGGACATCGGTGACATACTGGCAACACACCAGAGAAATCGAGAAACTGCATCAGCCTACCAGTTGACCTGTAGTTGCATGGAGTGCCAAAGAAACTGTTGGACCCTGGAAGCCAATCAACCCCAGACATCTATACTTTTACATTCTTGAGAACAGAGAATGTAGCTGGCGCCATGACTTTTGAAGACATCGAAGTGCCGCAGTTCTCGGAACAGAAGCCTATCGTTGTGGATGCTGCAGTGCCGGCAGCTCAGACGTCTTTGGATTCAGGAGTCGCGACCGACGGGCGCGAGCAACATCCTGTACTAGCCTGATTCCGAAACTGGAATCATATCGGAAATCTGCCGAGCTGGTCCCTCAAGCCTTATGTTCTAGCAAGAGGGTCCATAGCTGAGAGAGCATTCGAGCAATGCACGCTTGAATTGGGAGAAGGTGCGACTCGCCTAGTGAGGGAGGCAAGTGAAGCCACGCAGAATGAACAACACAGAAGAATACAGACAGAAGTCAGACGTGCTACACTCACCCGAGTCCTAGCAGGGCTCGCGGTTCGCTGTAGAGAGTCAGGACCAACTTATGCAAGTTTAGACTCCTGAGACAGAGCCGCGGGTGCCGAGCTAGCACTTTCGCAAGAGGCATCAAGTAGTCGGATGCAGGACGTCCTGTACTTCTGCTGGCTCTTGTATCGGCAGTTTCGGCACGAGGAGAAGTCACTATGGAGCTGCCAGTTAGGGGAGGGCACACTGCAAGGTTGGACGAGAATCGAGACATCGACATGTTCGCCACACTGCATGAGAGGCAGCAGGCTTTCAACAATCGGTCACCTCGATGTTTTTCTCGCCCGTCTCGTGAATCTCACCTATCTCCTGCATCTCGTCCCTGGATTCACGGACAGATAAGTTGTCCAGCTTCAGGCGGAAGAACCCAGCAAAGTGGCGCGAACGGAACAAGAGGCTCGCGAATGCTCCCGGAGAGCGGTGGATCGATTTTCAAGTGACCCCGCTCTTGTGCCACCGCCAAGGCGAGCTCTGAGCCGCAAGGCTTCCCGCCCACCACAGGCTCAAGGTGGTGAGCATGCGCGCTCCACGACAGAGCCCAGCTGGGAAGTCCAGCAGACCGTGCCTGCGCCGGAGGCCGGGGCAGGGCTTCGCTGAAGTTTCGTTTTGAAAGCCGCGCTGTAGGAGACGGTGCCAGACCTGAAGAAGCAAGACTTCAAGAAACCGCAGGCCAGGTGATGTTTCGAGAAACGGTGTGGGGCGTTGCAGCATCGGGTGACATCTGCTGTGGGATTTCCGCAGGGCAAGTTTAGCAGTGATCCTTTTCGAAGGAAGTTGACGAGGAGGCCCCCGAAGAGTCATGGAGCCAGAAGCCGCGACTCCGTTGCAGGGAAGATGGTAAGTGAACGGGGGTGTGCGGGCTTGGACTGCAGACTGTTACTTGCAGGTCCTGAGCCCTTAGGGTGGTCAGAAATCCTTGACTCCCTTGAACACTGTCTCTTCGCATCAGGCAAGGCAGGACAATGCCTGGGGGATACTACGTGCGGAGCCTGGAGGAAGTCCACTCGAGCACCATGCGTGCCCGGTACTCAGATATCTCAACGCTTCGTTTCAACCGTGGGGCACAGCACACGTGCAGAGCTAGGTCAGGTCTTTCTGTCAAAGCTACGTTGCGTGGGCATCCGGCTTAGCAGGCTCGGCGACAGACGAAAGTTGCGAGGCCTTCAATGTTCGCCTCACCAAGCCCTACCAGCGCCCAGCGCGTGGAGCAGATGAGGACAGTCGCCCTGTAGAACCTCACATAGGAAGAGGCCTGCATGGCGGACAGCACTTTGCTAGTCGCCAGGATGAAGACCTTCCACCGCTTGAGCCTGAAGAGATGGGGGAGGTGAAGGCAAGAAAGTTCGGAAATGTTGGGCCATCGTGTTTTCGAGCATATCCGGACAGGCGCCGAGCCCAGGGCGCGCGGTGCGCGAGGCGGCGAAGCGCGCTCAGGCTCGGGTACTTAAGTGTGGGAGGTATGGGTTCCTGCAACACATTTGGTCAGTCGGTCGTTCTGCGAAATTTTGACACTTCGCGAAACACGACGTTAAACACGAGTTCTTTTCTCACACAAGATATCACAAGATCATTTCTGATCAAAAACACTTTGTGGGATGATCTCAGGACACCCAAAGGCATCAGACAACTGCCGAAAGTGGCCAGACATGGATGGCTGTGTTTCCTGAAAGCTAATTGTCCACAACCGTTGCACGAGTTTCTGCAAAGTAAGAATGATTCGGTGGCAGGGAAGTTTTTGTGGAATCCAAAATCTCGACCAAGCTTTGTGTGCACTAACTGAATAGATGACTTCATATATATATATGTATATATGTATATATATCTAGTATATTACATTATATATTATATATTATAGGTTAAAGATTGTAGATTATAGATTATAGGTTATTGCTTATGTATTCTAGATCATAGTTTATAGATTGTAGATTATATTATATATGTTATATATGATTTATTATAGATTGTAGATTATAGATTACATATTATATATTGTATTTTATATGCTTTAGATTATAGATTATAGATCATAGATTGTATATTATATCTTATATTATGTTATATTCTATTTTTCCATTCTATTCTAATCTATTCTGTTCTATTCTATTGAAGTCTATTTTAGTCTATTGAAGTCTATTTTATTATATATTAGATTATATAGTATTATATTATACTATTTTACATGATACTATACTGTATTATGCTACACTTTATTATACTATACTTTTTTGTATTGTACTATATTATCTTCTATTATATTGTATTACATCATTATATATTATATTATATTATACTATATAATACTGTATTTTGTTTTATTCTATTATATTTCATTTATTTCAGTATAATTCTGTATATTATATTACTGTATATTATATTCTATTACATTATACTTTATTGAATTATAGTAGATTGTATGGATATTATATATCTATAACTATTTTTGTATCTATATCTACATGTACATCTATGTCTACATCTGTAAACCTCTATCTACATCTCTTTCTATATCTACATCTAGAACTACGTCCAGGCACTGCCCCACACGCCAGGGGAATACTGAATGAGTCTGCGCAGCCAAAAAGGGGATCAGCTGAGCGTGTTTTTTTCCCTTAGTCCTGCTGCCGGTGCGTGTGTGCGTGTTTGGTTCGGCCACCCCGCACCCCAAGCCCTTTTGTCCGAGCCAGTGCCCCCAGCTTAGTACCCATGTGAGGGATCACAGGGGGAAGAGCTTCTGTTCCTGCGAAGTGGGCTGTCTTGCCAAGTGCCCAAATCCAACCCAAGCCTCGCAGCTTGGGGGGGCGGGCCCATGGAGGTTCGGGTGGCACTTTTCCCTGCTTGGATTGAGGGGCTCGGAGCGTCGAACTCTTGCCGGATCTCCCCGATGACGAAAACGGAGGGGGGAAGAGATGGCGGGAGGGAACGTTTCCGTTCGGCCGGAGTGCACCCCAGGCCATCCACTCACTCACTCACTCACTCACTCACTCACTCACTCATGTGTGTATATATATATATACATGTGTGTGTGTGCGCGTATGTGTGTGTGTGTATGCAGATGCTGCTTGATGATTTTTGAAGTTGCTCATTACTTGAATGTACCATTTGACCAGCGCAGATATGCCATGCAGATTTAACACCGGCGCATCTCAAAATAGCATGCCAGCAAGTAGGCCACGACCGCCTCCATCCACCTGAGTAAGGAAGTCGTCGCGCCATGTTCTTGGAATGGCACGTGCCAGGTCACCCATGACTGTTAGGATTGGAAGTCCAGATGCCCGACGCGCAGCAGCAAGTTCATGCAGCAGCAACTGGGCATCCGAAACATCGCGCACAGAGCCTGACTGTCCTGGTTCGAGGCCTTGCAGAAGACAAAGCTTGAGACGGTTGATGAGAACAGCTTCTTGTAACAGCCCCATTTGCGAGCGTACTTCCAGAAAGCGCCAGTTGTCAGGTGAAATGACAAGACCCTGCTTATGCTTAGGAACAACAAGCGTCCGTCGCCAGAGGTCTGGTTTTATGGCTAAGCACCCAGGTCCAAGCAACCTGAGCAGGAGAAAACAGCAGGCATCCCAGTCCCTGTCGCGTAGGAGGAACGCAATTCTTGGGATGAGATCTGGTGTAGTAGCCAGCGACTTGTCCCATTTGTCCATTATGAAAGACACTTCACTTTGCAGCACGGGAGAGTCATATGCCCCGCGTCCTCGGTTTGCCATTTGTTGCACAAGGGCTTAGCCAGAGCTGGAGATTTTTCTGACTGTGAGGATGCATATGGGCACGCCCTATACAGTTGAGTGTTGGAACATGCCGTCTGAGACCGTTTGGCGGTC